GTTCGTCATTCGTGTCCAGTTCTCGTGCATTTATTTTCAGAGGTTAAAGAATCAAAAAGGAAAACAAAAATACATGCTGTAAATTGTAGCTTCGAACAAAAAATTTTGCGTCTAGTATTTTATTGTATATACCTAGATAATTAAAACGAAAACGAAAACAAAACAACGCAAGCAAGGCCGAAAGTACACATGCCAATGGAGCAAATACAAAGTGCAAATTCAACTTACTTTTTCTTGCGAGTCAAGCTCCACTTGTTGAATTCGTTTCTCTAAATGTCGAACCATTGTTTTTTGTGTTTCTACGTCTTGCTGTAAAGACTGAGGTCATATGGGAAAAAAGAAGGAATGACTACATTGGCATAAAAACCACGAGTTTGTGTCGGTGTGGAGTTCAACTTGTATGTACATTACCAAAATATAGACTCAAAGACGCGGATTTTTGGCATTGGACCAATCAGAAAGCAAAGCAAAAAGTGTAACAAGTACCAAGGACGATAAAATGCGCACTGGTTCGTGAGTTTACCAGAAGACGGTGTACGAATTTCTCTCATTAACGTACCTTAGCAATTGAAGAATGATGCTTTTTCGCCGACGCTTTCTCTTCTTCGTATTTTGCCGTTGTCTGAGCAAGCTTCTTTTCCAAGTTTGTTCTTGTGCTGTGAACAGGAAACGCAACAAAGTGCAAATAAATGGTGTAACACATAGTTTCAGTTGTTTCACAACCAAAGAATATTAATCTCGTTTTGCCGCGATAACACCGCGTGAACGACGAATTGGAACTGATGACTGGCCTTCCTAAACGAATCTACATATTCTAGGCAAAGTTCCAGAGGACATCATTGATTGCTTGAAGCAGAAGTAAGCAAAACTTACCGGTTGTTCTCTTCTTTTAATTTCTTTATTTCTTCTTCAAGTGTTTCTACAACCTACGATGGACAAACAAAAACACATCTTACTCACGTTTATTCAGCCTTCGTCTCATCATCACTCACATGTTGGGTGCTAGACTAAGCAAACACCTATGACTGGATATAACACTTAACATTGACTGCCACCATCTTTGGTAGTAACTCTTTAACTTGCCTACGTGTAGCCGTACCCTCCCCCCCAGGTGAACGTTTCACGGGGGGGGGGAGAGTACGGCTACACGTAGGCTACTCTTAACTCGATGGAAATTAGACTTGACCGATCTACGCGGTTTGATGAGTAAGTTTGGTTTGAATACTGCAAGACTTGATACACTAACCTGATGTCCCTTTGAAGATCGTGTTGTATACTCTTCCTCCATTTGTTTTATCCTGTTGTTCGTCTAGAAAAAAAACAAACAAACAATTATCTCTCTACTTGTCAAAAAACTGTATCAGAATATAGCGGAAAAAAAGAGTTCTGATTGGTTTCTCCAACACTGAGCACGAGAAATAAAACATTGCCTTCACCTGAAATCACATGCATACTACAATTATCAGCGCTGAGTAGAGAGTTGTGGAACAAGTTCAAACTTTTCAAAATCCTCCTGTACACTTTTTGTATTCTATAACATTAGTGGAGTCGGTGATAGGGGCGTGACATCAGCGATGTCGACCAAAAGTTAGCACTGATACTCCTTTTGGACTCTCCTGGACTAATTTTTCTCTAATAAACTCGAAAAACTGTTACTCACTTTATCTAGAATCTGTTCCATTTCGCTGCTATGTTCGCGCTGTAACTGTAATCTCTGTTGCTCAAGCTGACTCTTGAATTTCATTTGCTGTCAAAATAGAAAGAGCATTTGTTAGCACAATTTGGCCGAAACAAAAATAAAGCTTTTTTCCCTTTGGTTACAGGAGTACCATGAATGCTACAACTCAAATCTATGGTCATTTAGTAAGCGAGGCCCTTCACTTTCGCATAAGCGCACGGACTGGGACCCGGCTTGCATTTCTTGACAACTTCCCTTTTAAGTAGAGAAAGATGTTTTTCGTCTTGTCACGAGCGTGGGACAAAGAAAACAGTCTGATTCCCCAGGAGGACTTCGGATTCCGCGCTCCGATGCTCTACCACTGAGCCATAGAGACTCCACGGTGAGCGAAGTCTATTACAAAGTTCATACGACACGCGTCCTGCATACTGCTAGGATCAGCAATGTCGATAGCGTAATGTTTGTAGATAGAAGTGAGAGAGACGGTAAGTTTTGAGCTCCCCTTAAATTAGGGGTTATTTAAATCTCTAAAATTTTTCTCCTTTAAGCTTGAGCTTAGGACAATAAATTCAATTGGAAAAGTCAAGCATTATCGCGGCCAAAAAAATGCTTCCAACGATTGTAAATTTCCTTAACACAACTAACCGAGTTTTCATCCTGTCTCTTGAACGTTTGTTTCTCCTCTTCTCTCAACAGGCTCAGCTCCATCAACTGAGTTTTATGCGTTGAATTCGCTTGAATAAGCTAACCACAAGACAGATAAAGGTAAACAAAGATTTGCCAAGAGAAAAAGATCTACGCAGAGTCACAGAACGACTAAACACAACAATAAATGTGGAAAGTATTTGAGAAAAACGATTGATTTATGATTCTGCATTAAATCCAAACTAATTTCATACTAAAAAATTAAAGCAGACTGTGATTCATTAATAACGGGGGTAAGTTTCTAAAGAAACTGTGGTGCTACGTCGGTGGGAGAGTATAACAGGGTAATTTAGTATTATCAACTCTAGTGTTATCGTCAGAGCGAAAGACGTAGGGCTAACGCTCGAAACGCCTTGGAACTCTTTACGGTGGCCAATTTTCGTTATCAACTCAGTTGATAATACTTAATTACCCTGTTGTGTTCCATCAAACCTATCATACCTCCTCTCGCAATTCTCGTACTTGTTGCTCCAACTCAGCGATAGTCTGGAAAACAAAATATCAGCAACACTGAGCCTTAAAACTTCATGCCGTAACAGATATGTAAATAATGAAAGATGTTTCTGTGTTACCTTGGCGTCCTTGTTTGCTCTGTTTCTCGTTTGATTTTCATGTTCAAGCATTCTTTGACGAAGTTTCTCCAACTGTATTTCCTAAAAATGAAAACAAAAAGAAAAAAGGGACAAATAATCAGGGCTTGTGCGACAATGCGATCTTATAAACGTTTTGCAAGTCGTTAAATATCAGGGATTATTTTCTATAAGGTCAGTAATAACAAAACGCTTCAGGCCAGCATGGAATGTCCAGGACCATCACAACCAGTGACATAAAACACGACTGCTGTAGTTCACTGGTAACTAGTACCAGTAATAACTATTCACGAGAAGCGGCGAGGTAAATATCCAGCGATAGCCACCTACACTGAATTGAATCACTGATTTTAACTCATTTATTCCTGCAACGGTCACAATATTTTCGGGTGCAAATCCCGCACGAGTTGCTTAGAAGTGAATAGCGAAGAATATTCAGAGTTAGAACAGCCAGTCAGAGCACGCCTCAACGCAGTCCACTGTCTTAGTATATATACTAATACAGAATAGCAATAAAAATTTTCCGCGCTTTGAAGGAAAGTTGTCGTGCCAAATTCTTGCACCCAAAACTGTTGTCAATTTGACGAGACCAATTTTACATGATTATGATCTATTTGCGACCGAGTCCACCTAACCTGCGAATTATAAAATAACTGGGTCATTTAACGAACCTTTTCCTGTTCTTGTTCTTTTAATGACGAGTCCCTCTCTATCTGGTGCGCTCTTAAAGTCTGTGCCTTCTCTTGTTCATGACGAATGTTTATCTCTGCAATCTGGGACAAAACGAAATTTCTTTCACAAGGATGTCGTATAATTTTAGTAACACTCGGTCAAATATTGATTGTGCCACAAATACGTAACGCACGGACAAATTTGACTGCATAATGTTTAAATTACAATTTTCGCCCGAAGAATAGTCTACAGATGTTCTATCGCTCCCAGGGTTTCGCGCAGCGCGCTAACATCAATTTTTTTGCCACTGATTTTTTTTGACTCGCCCTACGGACTTCGCCGCAAAGGAGGTACTGCTCGTAGTCTACCGACGAGACAACAAATTGTGCCCATCGGCATCCTGCAGACGGAACTAAAAGCAATAACACATAACTGGTGTAAATAAAGTCGTTCTCTATATATTGATTAAGGAATCTG